CAGCCTCCGAGAAAGTAGGCATTATGAACATGAAACAATGTCAATGGTGACATTTTGCCCTCTGACTGCAGACACAGCTTTAATTTCTAGCTCATTTGTTGAGGAAAAATAATCAATATCAGATCACCTATTAGTTCGACTGACACTGAGTTAAAATGAAACTCCTTGATTGTTCTGTTGCACTGAAAAGACCAATGTGTGCACACTGTATACATGCATTAACTTTCTGAGATCAATAAACAAGATCAGCCCACTGGTGAACCAAACAGACGCATAGAATGAGCTAGTTTGTGACTGCTGTTTGATTGTGATTACAGGGGGTCAAAGTTGCATTTGGGAATTGAAATATCTAAAATGTATAGTCTGCGGGAAAGCATTTTTCAGACACAGAAATGGCTTTGTGAATCACTGAAAGGATCAATATGTCCAGATTATGTATAGACATGCACTTTAACACACTAGTGATTGAGATCAGCCCAGTGGTGAATCAAGATTAAGAGGGATGAAGATTTTATGAATGCTCTTTAGATATCACCTACAAGATCAATGATGAGTCAAACACAGATGACAGTGCTTTGGGCTAAATTATATGTGATTAACTCGTGGGCTATCAGGAGTTTCAACTGTGTTTCCATGTACAGTATCCAGTGGTGGCGGTGCACAGACACACGTCGGGTATTACTATACTTGTGGATTTTGATGACGGTATAACAAAAAATCCTGACTTTTACCATGTAAGAGCAAAAATCCTGTATTCTCTTCAAGTTCAAAACAAGACTGAGTTCTGAACCTGTAATGTAAAATAAAGAGCAAACAATACTTCATGTTTTTGGCTTATTTGGACAAAAAGAACATGAATCAATAAGATAAACCCTTAAGGTTTAAAGCATTCAAAGTTCTCAGAAGCACAGCAGGTGCCCTCATTGTGAAACAGAACAAGTTTCCTGACTGTCGGGGGAAATTTCAGTAACCAGATTTGAAGAGCTTTGGTCAAGGGGGTAACTAAGAACTGAGAGGCCACTATAACATCAGAGATCTTCTGCAGAGATGAATGTCCATCTGGAAGGTTATGACATCTCTGCAGAAGATCTCTGATGTTATAGCACTCCATCAATCATATCTTTATGGTACCGTGGCTAGAGGGAACCAACTTCTGAGTAAAAGCATATGACAAACAATCTGTCAAACAGTACATACTCAGATCTTATGAGACAAAATTTGAACACTTTGGCTTGAGTGAATGCCTGAACATCCTTGAAATTTTGGCAAATTTGCATGTAAAGAGTTTATTTTAAAAAATGCTATATATGCACTTTTGGGTATTAAATGAATAAGAGCTGACCTACGATGCACTTGTCAAAAACACTGTTATTTCATACAGGTACCTTTTCACCTTTTTTGGGGGTGGAGGCATAGCAACCATTTACACCAATACTTTAGGACTAAACCAGAAAGCAGACCGTAGTTTCTCTTGCTTTGAAATTCAGTTTCTCAATGCTAGCAGTCGAGGAACAAGTGAGAGCTCATTTTCGCTTATCATAATCTACAGGCCACCGGGGCCTTACTCTGAGTTTTTACAGGAATTTACTGACCTGTTATCTAGTTTAATAACAATCTCGAATAAAGTAATAATTGTTGGAGATTTTAATAATAATTTTAATATTAATTTAATATTTTAATAATAAACTCTTCTCTCAGCCTCGGGTATGTTCCAAAATCTCTTAAATTAGGTGTAATTAAACCTTTAAAGAAACCTAGTCTTGACCCCTCTGAGCTATCAAACTATAGTCCTATTTCAAATCTTCCCTTTTTATCAAAAATTTTAGAGAAAGCCGTGGCAAAACAATTATGTTCCCATCTGCATAGGAGTAATATATATGAAAAATTTCAGTCCGGCTTCAGGCCTCACCATAGTACCGAAACAGCGTTAGTGAAAATTGTAAATGATCTTTTATTATCTGCTGACAAAGAAAACATATCCTTACTGGTTTTACTCGATCTTAGTGCAGCTTTTGACACAATAGACCATTCCATTCTATTAGACAGGCTTGAGAAACTAGTAGGAGTGACAGGTAAAGCTCTTTCGTGGTTCAAATCTTACCTTAGTGATCGCTTTGAGTTTGTTAATGTAAATGGTGAACCATCAGCTCTCACAAGAGTAAAGTATGGTGTTCCACAGGGCTCTGTCTTAGGACCCATGTTACTTACCTTATATATGCTACCACTAGGTACCATCATTAGAAAACATGGCATCAGTTTCCACTGCTATGCTGATGATACACAATTATATATTTCAGCTAAACCAGAGGACAAAACTAAACTTAATAAGATAGAGGACTGTGTCAAAGACATTAAAGACTGGATGTCAAGCAACTTCCTTTTACTAAATTTGGACAAAACCGAACTCCTTCTTCTTGGTCCAAAAGCTGCTAGGGATAATCTGCCTACGTTTACTCTTAATCTCGATAGTTTCTCAATTGCACCAGGCACATCTGTAAAAAGCCTTGGTGTCACGATTGATCCCAGTCTGGCCTTCGATGAGCATATTACCAATATTACCAAAATAGCTTTCCTCCACCTGCGTAACATCGCTAAATTAAGAAATGCACTGTCGCTACAGGATGCAGAAACGTTAGTTCACGCCTTCATCACGTCCAGGTTAGATTACTGTAACGCTCTGCTTTCTGATTGTTCCAGCCAAAACCTTAACAAGCTTCAGTTAGTCCAAACGCTGCAGCCAGCGTTCTCACCAAAACCAGGAAATTTGACCACATTAGCCCAATTTTGTGTACCTTACATTGGTTGCCAGTTAAATTCCGCATTGAGTACAAGATTCTTCTGCTGACGTATAAAGCTTTGAATGGTCTTGCTCCTCAGTACCTCAGTGACCTTATTTTCTATTATCAACCGACACGCCCACTTAGATCACAAGGTGCGGGCTCATTATTAGTACCCAGAATAAATAAAGTTACGTCAGGGGGAAGAGCCTTTTCATACAAAGCCCCCCGGCTTTGGAATAACCTACCAGTCTGTGTTTGGGACTCAGACACAGCCTCCATCTTTAAGTATAGGCTAAAAACTTAATTTGTTTTCCTAACTATGTCCCTCTCATCCCCCCTCCCCCCTCCCCCCCTTCCCCCTCCCCCTCTCTTTCCCTGAGCTTTACCTAAGAGGGTCTGACCTGAGATGCGGCCGGCGCACTGCACAGTGGTGTTAAACTGTATCCACTTATACTGTTTTGTGTCTGTCCTCTTATCCGGTGTCGACCAGAGGAGGATGGGTTCCCCTTTTGAGTCTGGTTCCTCTCAAGGTTTCTTCCTCCTGTTGAGGGAGTTTTTCCTTGCCACTGTCACCAAGGCTTGCTCAGTGGGGGCGTGGACCCGGATTCTTTGTAAAGCTGCTTTGTGACAACATCTGTTGTAAAAGGTGCTATATAAATAAATTTGACTTGACTTGACTTTTTGTTCAAGGTACAAACAGTGTAGATGTACCCTCAAAGGCACAGCTTAAGGCCCAACTAAAGGTAGCTAGGCTCTAACTAAAGATACTGAAGACAGCCCTTGAGGGTACCACTCCAGTGATGGTATAGTACCTTTTTCTGAGAGTGTATTAAAGGGGAATATAACAAAGTCATGCATTAAAGGGGAATGTAAACGTCATTCAGAGTGGTCTGATGTGAAATCGCTGGTAGAGAAATTTACTGATTTAGATTTCTTTACAGTGGTGCTGATAGGAACCATGTTTACAACACAAACACAGCCATTTTCTTTACTATCCAAAACCACCAATGAACCTGTATGTGTCTACTGAGTTATTATATGTAATGCTAATAATAGTACCTATTTTACCTTACAACACCGTGCATGTACACTCCAAAAAGTGATGTGTTAGGTGAAGACAGAATGTGTTGTTTTGAGCACTTATGTTTTAAGACTGCTGTCAAGACATTTTAAAAATATCTTTTAGTCCAAAGCCTAGTGTCAAAGCTATTGCAAAACAATGTCTCAGGCATCAGGAAGCATATCTGTAACATTTTTTGGCAATAACTTCCTATGAGGGAGCTTTAAGAGGTAGGCGTCTGGTTCCCATCACCACCACTGTGAACAACTCTGACTCTCTGAGTCTCTGAGTAGGTTTCTTGAACAGGGCATTTCACACCAAACCACCCTGAACGACTTCGTTTACAGGTTAAAAATGTAATTATGTTCAAGCTTCGAAAAAACAAACGGAACTCCTAGTAATAGATAACATTCATATGTGTGCAGCTCACTCCCAATCACGGAAAAAGTAAAGTTCATGAAAGAAACATTAGAACCTTTATTTTTAAGAGCGCGTAAACAGGATCCTGTGAGGCTGCATGAGAGCCTGTACCCTGAATCAAACGGTGCTTTTGAGCAGCGAGTTACACCAACACAGCTCTCACTAAAAGAAGCTGAAAACACATTTCAGTGACGGATCTTTTTTCTGGATACAAAACCTAAATGCACACGTCATGATCGTCCTTCTTGGTCTTTCTCGACGTCATCAGTGGCTTTATATTGTACTCAGAGCGCAGCTGTGCGCTCAGACCTGTGGATGGTCACTTAAGTACAGCTCCAGAGGAGAGAGGCTACTGCCAGTGAAGCTCAGGCAGTGAAGACTTAGAACTGCAACAAGTCACCAGAGGGGATCTGATCACAGTGACGACTCACAAGCTGGCGTGTTGATTAGAAGATCTAGTTATGTTAAATGCTCGTGGATGATCTGCATGATGGACTGCAAACTTTAATCCGCAGTAATCATGCTATGAGCACTTATTGTAGAATATTTTCCTCCACCTCACTCTAAGACTTTCAACCAAATGGAGCACTTTTTAATGTTGCGTCTCTGCTGCACCACTGAGCCAGTAAGCTAACTACAGCTCAGGACCCACCATGCACCTTTTCCTGAAGCTGTAAGCAGATGTAGAGGGGGACTAACCCTCCGGCTCGAGCTCCAGCACCGCGCGCAGTGAGGTAAAGATGATGTTCTCCCAGCTGCTCGATTTCAACTACAGCCTGAACGGCAGCGCGGAGGAGCCGCTCGCTTTCCTGGACGAGGACTGGAGCGACTCTCCAGCGGAGAAGCTCTCGCGCGCGGGCTTCATCGCGCTCTCCGTCTTCTTAGGTCTCATCATGACATTCGGCTTCCTCAACAACTTCGTCGTGCTGGTCCTCTTCTGCAAGTTCAAGACGCTGCGCACGCCGGTCAACATGCTGCTCCTGAACATCAGCGTGAGCGACATGCTGGTGTGCATGTGCGGGACGACGCTGAGCTTCGCGTCCAGCATCCGCGGCCGGTGGCTGCTGGGCAAGCAGGGCTGCATGTGGTACGGCTTCATCAACTCCTGCTTCGGTGAGTGAAGAGCTCAGCAGGGAACTCAAGGGTTACACGCAGCGTGTACTGGCTACACTATAAAGAGTGATGTGTTAAATAACAACATTTTTGATTCTTGTTTGACCTGTTTTAATATACATACATACATATATACATACATCATCTAAACCGCTTATCCTTCTGGGTCGCGGTGGGGTGCTGGAGCCTATCCCAGCTGTCATTGGGCGGAAGGCAGGATACACCCTGGACAGGTCGCCAGTCCATCGCAGGGCACCTGTTTTAATATGTGTTTTAATATTCAATATGTGTCATATTGTTTTCTGATTTAACACATTCTCTGTTACTTTTAACTGGGCAGAGAAATATTTCAACACACTGTGTGTTTAGTAACACTGATGTGTGTAGTTAGAGACAGAAAGTGTTTTTTAACGCCTCTGTTTTAAGAGTGTCCACCTGCACTGTGTCTACACTCTTCATGTCTTTTTGAAACTATTATCACCTTTAAAAAAGAAGGTTCTTCAAGGATTCTTTCGTAAAGACAATGGTTCTAGAACCAGGAACACCCAAATAACAATTTTCATGCTTAAATAGTTCTTTGCATGGTGAACTGGTATTTTGCATGGTGAACTGGTACAGATTGATGGAGAATGTGTTCTATATAGCAACAAAATAGGTTCTTCTATTGTTACAATGTCAAGCTTATAACAGAGGAAGACCCTTTTTGTATAGAACCATATACAACACAATCAATCTGAAGAACTATTTCATCATGCAAAGAACAATTTAAGCATGAAATGGTTCTCTGGGTGCTTATGGTTCTATATAGAATCATTGTCTTTACTAAGGAAACCTTGAAGAACCATCTTTTTAAAGGGTGTATATATAACAAATACTATTATGTACTATTATAAACTAAATGTTGATATACTGTAGAACAGTGTTCCTCAGTCCTGATCCTGGAGGCCCACTGCTTTGCACTTTTAGTGTTTTCACTGCTCCCAACACACCTGATCCAACTAATCAGCTCAAAAACAGGCGATTACTGAGTTAAACTGGGTATGTATAATTAGGAAAAGCACAAAAATGTGCAGGGCAGTGGGCCTCCAGGACGAAGGTTGAGAAACACTGATCTAGAACAAATCAATAAAGGGCAATTACACTGAAATTTTCAGCATTCCTGAAACATTCAGTTGCTGGGATGTAAAGAAAGTCATGCAGAGTGATTTACAGTAAAATGGTACACTGCAGAATAAATGACCCATCTCAGATTTCTTTACAGTGGAGGTGATTTGAACCACACTATAAAACCAGATGTGAAACAACACATTCTGTCTCTAACTAGACACATCAGTGTGTTCAGTTGGAGATGACACAGTTTAAGTTACTTTAAACACAAAATGTGTTGTGAAATATTTGTGCCTCCACTTACAGATAACACATTTAGTGTTACTTTTAACACAGAATATGTTAAATCAAAATACAATATGACACAAAAAGTGTTAAAACGGGTAACACAAGTAAGTGTGTTGTTATTTAACACATCACTTTTTAGAGTGCAGGAGTTGCAATGACTATAGTGCAAATATAGCCATTTTATTTATAATTTAAAACAAGTAGTGAGTGTCTTTTGAATATTTAATGTTGATAATGGGGAAAAAGTGGTAAATCTACAAAAAATAGCTTCCTTTGGTGCTGTTTTGCCTTACAACACATTACATGAACCTCTCTGTCTAGAGTGGCATTTAAAAATATGTTTGAAGGCCAAAACCTCTGTCAAAAGATCCATCAATGGCTCAGACAGCAGGCAACATGTTTGTAACCATTCATATAATAACTCTGTGACATAGCTGTTAAGAGGCATTCATAGCTTTAGGCGTCCGGTTTCTATCACTACCACTGTGAACACTGACTCTGTACATTTCTCTAGGGCATTTCACATCAAAACCACTCTGAGTGACTTTGATTATATCTTAGCTATTTAATTAAGCAGACATGTCAAAAATCTGTGGAATTCCAGCATCAAGATATCAAGGCTTCCTACTTTGCATTCTTATGAATCAACTGTGTATTCAAACTATATGTCCAAAGGTTTTTAAACCCCTGCTTATCCAATATCTTATCTGGGTATTAATAGGGAGTTTGTCCCCCGTATACTGCAGTAACAGCTTGTACTGTTCTGACAAGGCTTCACACTACATTCTGGAACATTACTGTGAGGATTTAATTGCATTTAGCCACATAAGCATAAGTGAGATCAGATACTGATGTTGGATCATTAGTTCTGGGTCACAAACACCACTACAGCTTGTCTCATATGTATTTGATGGAGCTCTGTCACTCCAGAGAACACAGTTCTAATGCTCCACAGCCCAGTGCTGGGGGCTGTATACCCCTCTGGTTAGCCATGGTGAGTTTAGGCTGTTTGGCTGCTCCAGAGCATCTTATTCTATTGACAGTGCTTCTCTATTGAGATTATACATGCTGTGTGCGATTTAACACCTAGGTCTGTATTTGTTTTTTCATTGAAAGCTCAACTTATAGTGCTGTGTGAGCTTATAACATGGCAGCAGTCTGAGCGCTCATGCTGAGTCTCTGCAGTGGGCTTGTTGAATATTCCATCACAGCCTGGTGAGAAACTTGCCTCGTTTTTAGATTTGTAAACAGTAAATAAAATAGAAAAATGTGTGATTTAGTGGTTTGGAAACAAGCAAAATCTCACTGAATTATTCATCTGCATCTTACTCTAAAGATATACTGTCTTTTTAATGGTTTAACCACTTACTTGTAATGACTGGTCAATCCCAAAATTGGATTTACAGTAATGTCAACAAAAGCCATTATTGACGAACAGTGTATTATCCTGAGCAGCTGGGCCAGTTAAGATCAATTGTTGTTGCCATATGGAGTGAATGTAATAATATTTAAAGATTAAAGGTTATTGATGTGAAGGACGACAAAGAGAAAGGTCAGGAGTCCTGTTGTGGTCGTGCATTTTACAAACACTGCCAAAATTGCTGACTTAGTTATCTCTTGTAAACACCTTCAAAGCTCCTGCAGGAGTAATTAGTTTTGGAATTTGACTGTGTGCATATATGGGAAGGCCTGTGACAGAGCAGAACAGAGAGACTGTCAGGGAGGGAAGGGGAAGTTTTTATTGCCTTATATAAAGGCCTTATATTCTTTATCAAGAACAATAAATATATCCAAGGACAGCTGTGGATTAAAATACCTATTAATTTGAGTGGTTGTTGGCTCACAGAGATCATGGGATTATAGGCTGGTAAAAGCTGACTAATTATCTGAGCTGCAGGTTTCATGTCACTAAGCGCAGCAGCAAAAGCTCTTACAGCACCTTCCACCATTAATCAAATATAAGGTAACTGTGCATTAACATTTCTCTGCTGATGGAACAAAACTTTATATCTCCATTTTTGCAGATTTTCAGTTTTAGACAGAATTCAAAAAAGCCTGTTGCCACATTGTGGGTAAATTTCATGAAGAATGGACCAAAAGAAATGACCTAAAATTACTTGAAAAAATATTTACTTACAGTAAAAGTAAAGTATGTTTTTTCTACCCTGTAAAGTTATCATTTTGGAGATGCGTGGTTTTGTTCCGACAGCAGTGATTTGTAGATATATGTTGTTTTAAAAGTAGTTTGCTGCGGAGATTGTGTTTATTTCTTTTCACTTCAGTAATCAACAAAATATGCAATTTCTCCAGGGATGCCTAAACTTGCAACTTGCAAGCATGCAACTGTCCACTATATGGCCAAAAGTATGTGGACAACTGACCATCACACATATGAGCTTGTTGGGCATATCATTCCAAATACATTGGCATTAAAATAGAGTTGCCCCCTCCTTTTCTGGCTATAACAGCCTCTACTCCTCTGAGAAGGCTTTCTGAAAAGTTTTGGAGTGTGTCTGTAGGAATTTGTGCCCATTCAATCAAAAGAGCATTTGTGAGGTCAGGCACTGATGTTAGATGAGAAGACCTGGATCACAGTCAACATTCCAATTCCTTCCAAATGTGTTCACTGGGGTTGAGGTCAGCGCTCTGTGCAGGCCACCGGAGTTTCTCTACATCAAACTCATCAAACTTCTCTACATCAAAGTGGAGTTTCTTTACATCAAACCATGTTTTTATGGACTTTGCTGGAACAGGAAAGGGCCTTCCCTAAACTGTTGGAATGTTGGCCATGAAGTTGGAAGCTTTATTGTGGCATTGGTGAAGAAGAAGATGCGGGACACCTTTAAATGTGCAATTTGTAAGATTTTTAGTTTCAAACATTCCAAAATTCACAAAAATTATAAGTCAAATATGAAGAAATAACAGTTTTGATGTTATTTTAAAGATGTATCGTGTTGCAGAGATATCACCTGAAGTTAGCATGCTAACCAGCTAACACCACAAATGTCTGGTAATATGTTGCCTCCTATTTGTTTGGAATGTGGAGTATGAATTTACCAGGTTGTGTCATCTTACAAAATGCTCTTTTATTGGATACAGCAGCAGGGGAGAATCACCACTCAGTGCTGCTGAAATGACCGAGATAGTAGGCAGGTCACTTCTAGACAGTAAACCCACACAAACTACATCTCAGCCCAGCACAGAATAGCCCAAGTAAAACATCTACACCTCCTTGAGCTAAAAGCCTTAACTATTTACAAGATTAAAGTCTATCCTGTTTACAAGATCAAAACAAGTCCAGCACTCTCGTGGTGCACTGCGCATCACCGCTCTGCATGCACCTCCAAAGCACCCATGGCCAAATGAGCCAGTAGTGGAACACTACAATATAACTGTCTTAAATGTCTTTGTATGCTGTAGCATTAACATTACCCTTCAGTGGAATTAAGAGGCTGAGGCCAAACCCTGATAAAACAGCCCCAGTCCATTATCGCTCCTATACCAAGCTTTACTTTTGGCACTATGCATTCTGGTATGTAATTCTGTATGATTACAATCTGTTTGAAACATTCTGTATGGAAACCCATTTCATGAAGCTCCAGATG